CCGGGCCCTGATGGCTTCACTGCTGAATTCTACAAGACATTTAGAGAGGAACTACTGCCACTACTGTTTAAACTCTTCAATGAAATTAAAAGGGAAGCAATACTCCCAAATTCATTCCTGGAAGCAAGCATCACCTTGATCCCCAAAGCAGAAAAACACCCAACGAAAAACAGAACTATAGGCCAATCTCACTAATGAACACAGATGAAAAAATTCTTAATAAGATACTGGCAGGGCTGGGGATTTAGCTCAGTGGTTCCGCCACCTACCTCACAAGGGGAAGTTCCCAAGTTCGATCCCCAGTACCAAAAAAAACCATACAAATAAGGTACTGGCAAATAGAATGCAAAAGATCATCAAGAAGATCATACACCCTGACCAGGGATGCAGGAAGATCATACACCCTGTCCTAGGTATGCAGGGATGGTTCAATATATGCAAATCAATAAATGTAATATACTATATCAATAGAACCAAGGACAAGAATCATATGATCATCTCAACAGATGCAGAAAAAGCATTTGACAATATCCAACACACATTTATGATAAAAACCCTACAAAAAATTGGAATACATGGTCTCTATCTCAATCTGATAAAAGTCATCTATGGAAAATCAACAGTCAATATCATACTAAATGATCAAAAACTGAAATCCTTCACACTAAAATCAGGAACAAGACAAGGATGTCCATTATCATCACTCCTGTTCAATATAGTTTTGGAAACATTAACCACAGCAATTAGACAAGAGAAAGAAATAAAAGGAAGAAAGGAAATGAAGAAGACAAATTGTCATGATTTGCAGATGAATGATACTCTACATACAAGACCCCAAGAGTTCTACCAAAAGTCTTCTAGACTTAACAACCAAATTCAGTCAAGTAGCTGGATACAAGGTCAACATACAAAAATCAATAGCTTTCCTCTACACAAACGACAGACTCACTGAGAGAGAAATACGGCAAATAATTCCTTTCACAAAAGCATCCAAAAACCTGAAATACCTAAGAATCAACCTAACAAAAGAAATCAAAGACCTCTTCTCCGGAAACTATCGCACTCTGAAAAGAGAGATTGAGGAGGATATCAGAAAATGGAAAGACATCCC